TAAACTGATAAAAATTCTACTAATTAGTAGAAAAATTAACACCTATGATTACATGTAATATAACAATAACAACAACAACACAAAACTGTAAAACAAACAAACCAATTAACTATCACAGCGGACGGCAGTTCACGCGAGTGACGAAACCACCTTAGTGTGTTGAAAAGTCGACTTGCTAATAGTCGACGTTTCGAATATACAAATGTATATTAAGTTTATATTCACAGTACACAGAAAATATATCTACCAACTATTTTCGTCACAAAATTGATATTAGAAATTTTGTGTTTCAAATGTTGGTTTCGTCACTCGTTCTTCACCTTGATAGAGGTTTTTTTTTGAACGATCTAATGTGATTCACTGTGATATCTTTTATTTTATTTTTTATCTAAGACTTGACTCATTGTATCCGAGTGCAATCAGAAAACTTTTTTCCCCACCATGTATTAAATATGTACAACTCAAACTATGATTCAGCCAGTTTTTGGCGGTGAATAAAGATTATAATACAACTTTTTTGACATATCGAAACACAAATATCACATTTGATATTTTCTATGATACTTTGAAAACCATTGTAATCAAAAGTAGCACTAGAAGTCACATCTTTTAAATTTAAATAAATTGAAATCATTAAATTAACTACTTTAAAAATGTTTCAATATTTTTCATTTTTCTTCAAATAAAATCTAAGCGTGTTTGTCGATTTATAAGCGCCATCTATTACGAATTTGTATTTTTTAGTTATGAGGAACTGGCGCTGATGTCAAGTTTTTTCACGTCGCTCCCATGTGTGGAATACTTCGGAATGGGCGTTTAATGCTAAAGGTTAAAGTTACCTACAAAAATTGGCCATTAAATGTTCAGGATGATGATGCTGCTCCAATTGAAAGTAGAGTCTATTCATTGTTTCGTGTTTGCTTCTAAGTATACAGAACTTTCTCGGATGTTTGGCGTACTAGTGCATGATTCGTTGAGAAGATCACCGAATGCAAACAATGTCAACTGACAAGCAGCAGCATTGAATTCATAAATGATTAGATAAAACAAATATTTTAACGATTAGATAACATGGCTAGGCTAGTGTTACACAAATTTTGCGGCCTTGTTGTGCGTTCATAAGAACAGTACAACGGTAGTACGGAGGGAAGGAGCCCGTTGGTGAGTAAAGTTTTTAATTTAAAACAATGATATTTCATATACGATTCAATTGATACTAATGATTGTCGTTCCTCTTTTCCATGTATTCACACCTGAATGTTATGCAATGGCAACCGTGAAAATGACTGAAACTACACACAAATCCGGGTCCGAATTTGACCGTGAATTTGTGCCTGGTAATGGGTGAATTAGCATTACAAATTGTTCCTTGTCTATAGTCAGAAGTTGAGAACTATAGTCAGAAGTTCTCGGCAGATAGATGCGTATACTTGACTCGTTATTTCGATAACTTTGTTACATTCAATTTTCAATAAATCTATATTAAATATAAAAGACATTTGAATTAACACAATTACCTGGCACCGCTTGTCGGATTTTCAAGTTCGTTTCACCATCCAAGTTCGACGTTTCAATGAATGCCATTGCTTGTGGTTCACTCGATGACAATAAAACCATATCGGCTGGAAAAAATGCATTATTGATAATTCGAACAATGTCGCCGACAACGAGATTTTGCCATTTGATGGCGACCCATTGACCATTGCGAAGTGTTTCCACATCTCTATGATTGGTGTCATCATCCGCTCGGTGACGTTTCTAAAAAAAAACAAATCGTACATCAATTGCTAATGATATTTAATTTTCGGAGTTGAGTTGAAAGTCATTTTACTCACAAAATCTTCAATAATTTCTTTAATGGCGCTTACAGCTAGAATGAATATTAATGGAACTAATGTGGTATATCGACCCGTTGGAGAAACATCAGGTATTTGTTGAAGTAATGCAATGAATAGAAAAAAACAGTTCGAATATCTTCGAAATTGTTCAAATAAAAATGAAGGTAGGAAACTTATTAAGCTAAAAGGAAAAAGAAAGATGGAAAAATTAAATTAATATAGTTTAAATTTTGTGGTTTTATTTACCTATATTTTGCCGTGGATATACGGTTGCTACAAAATTTTTGTGGCTGCGGCCGATTTAAGAATATTACACGTTTATCCACATCATCTAACGTGACACCTGATGTTGTGACGTCATCATCGTCTGGAAAAAAGAGAAAAAAACTTTTTTTAGCCATAAAATTATCTAAGAGTATTAAGCAAACCAGAAAGCGTACTTTTGTATTATGACCGGGTGTTATTCTTTGAAAATGTTTGCCACTTTGCGTTTTTGTTTTAAAGAACAATGCCAAAAAGTTAGCCAGTGTTATTGTATGACATTCAGTGTGAAAAAAAGTGACTGACTGTCTAGCTAATATCAACTGAAAATTAATTTTGTTAACTAAAACTTTCTACACTGTAGAGTTTGGTCGTCTATTTTTCTGATTTTAAACAGGCGACTAATTTGGGACGTTAGATGGCTATAGCTAAGTGTGGTTGAATTTGATTTGAGTTATATTTTTCTCTACTGGAATTGACTGAAAAATCAAGCAAATCAACTTTAAATGACTTCAATCTCAGTTGGCTTAAGACGTCCCAAATTAGTTAACTGACTAGCCAGTCAGTAATTTTTCACACGGGATGGTGTACCATCTATTTGTAGAACGAAACCGCAATAAGCGATTGATCATATTTCATGAAGTGCCAAAAACTTTATGGTTAATATTCGTCGCGATGTGCATTTCTTACATGAAAGTATGAAAATGAGACAATTCAATTTAAGAATGCAGCGAAAAACAATTTGTGACACAATGTGTTTGTAGAAATTACAATTTTTTGGCCAATAACACAGAAACAAGTATTAGAGTACGCTTACTCGCACTTGCGGTGTTAGTAGAGGCTTTACCCCTCAAAATGAGTTACGCACTCTATTTAACTCTATTTTTGGTGTTAGTTTCATCGAAGTAAACGAATCACAGTGAAAAAAGAGATACATGTGTAGTACATATGTACGTTGCCGTTCAACGAGTTATGTTCGTTGCATGCATATGAGTCTGTGTATACGCTAACGAATATGATTGCTAAGTGTATCGTCACATACGTTTGATGAAACTAACACCAAAAATAGAGTAAAATAGAGTGCGTTACTCATTTTGAGGGGTGAAGTCTCTACTAACACCGCAAGTGCGAGTAAGCGTACTCGAATACTTGTTTCTGTGAAGCCTGAATAAAAAAGGCGCGGAACTTATTGAGCAATAAATTGTCACAAATTAGTCACTAAATCTCTAGATAGTTTGCAAGGCAATCGCAAAAAAGGGAGAGCCGATTTCAACCCCAGTGAAAATGGAATCAGATGACGTTCAACAATTTATATATTTTAAAAACCTCGTACACACGGTCTATTAATAGAGTAAAAAAAACTTTTAGATTGAAAGTACAATTGTTGTATACATCGCATAGAATGTGTGTACAAAGTCTACTGCGTATGCACACTACCAATCATGGGAGCGACATGACAAAACTTGACATGAGCGCCAGTCCCTCATTACTAAAAATGGTACAAATTCGCAATAGATGGCGTTTATAAATCGACAAACACGCTCAGATTTATTTATTTTTATTGAAAGAAAAATGAAAAATATTGAATTAAAATTAAAAGTGCTTCTCTGAATATAATGGTTTTTAAGTACTATAGAAAATATCAAATGTGATATTTGTGATATCATTTATCATCAATTTGAGATGTGATATTTGTCCAAATATATAAATTATCCATCCAAATATTTTCATGTAACAGCCTCGAATTCTTTAACATAGAAAAAATGATAATTTTATTGATTAATTTGAACATCGTTAGGTTTATCAATTCAGCAATTAGAAAGTAAAACATGCTTATTCAAATATTTTGTTAGTCTTGAATACTGTATAATTTCAGTCACCATCCAATTAATTTATCATGGGGGACGGCAGTCCCCCAAGTGAAGCAATACCCACATACATATGAAATATGTATGTATATTTTGCGTCACT